CCCCCAAATTTAAGGTACAATACACAGATATGTATTTAAAGAGAAAAGACACAAGTATTGCCTATAAATTGCAGATGGATTTTTCTCTTTTGGAATTTCTACATATTGTATTGAAACCTCAAATCCCTTATGGAAAAAAATCATAAATCAATTGACAGTTTTGCTGCCTCTAAAATAAAAACAGCTGTGTTGCATGTGATTTGAGAATTTGAAACTGAATTTTCACATGGAATAATCTTAATTCAGAAAATAATACTAAGAATTAAGATAGTGATCACAGGAGGGATGTTCCTGTTTAAAAAATACTTAAATCCTTGGCAGATGAAGACAAACACCTGTGTGCAACTGAAGTAAACACATTACACATTGAACGTGGATGATCAGCATACCCAGGCGCTCACGCAGCGGCCGCAGGTGGTGATCTTGAAGTCCCCGTAGAGATCCTTGATGGCACCCGTGGTAAAGAATCCCTCCACCATGAGCAGAATGCCATACACGAAGAAGGCGGCCGCAATGCCATAGATGACGTACTTGAAGATGTCAATCCTGGGGGCGGGGAAGACAAGGGGATTTATTTCACCAACTCTTCATGTCTGACCTGTAGCAATGGATCCTCCAGGGCTCATGGCTCCTTTGGAATGAAAGCCACAGGACATTTATGTTCATAATGGAGACTGGATGCAGAAACATTTCTGTTCTACATGCCTAATGTTTTTATAGACATTTTTTTCTGCCACTTCCAGTATCTGGTGACAGGCTCGTCATGTCTGTAAGTTTCTTCTTCCCTCCCCACCTTCCTTCCCTGGTTCACACCAAGCTAGTCTTGGATATGCAGTGAATCACATTTCCAAAGGAGTTTGCTCAACTTCATTTGATAAGCAGGGTAATCAGCATATGATTTCTCTAATTATGACAAAACATCAAATATAAAGATGTATGTATATATCACTGAGTTTTAAGAGCTTACATTAAAAGAGGAAGAAAGCTTTATGGTTAATGATGCATTTGTTTTTGAGAAAATCACAACCTCATGTTTTTGATATTGTTAAAAGTTGATTTTTTTATGTCATACTTACTGTAAATAATCACTAATATTTTTTGTTGATAATATCACTAATAAAAATATACAGTTTTACAGATAAGTTGTACTTTTGATGAGTAAGCCTCTTAGGTAGAATCACTAACAGATACTACATGGAATTGTACCCGAGACAAGTTATAACATGTGAAGGGTAGTTTTGGTGGGTACAGTATCCTTGGTTGGCAGTTTCTTTCCCTCAGCAATTTAAATATATCATCTCATGCCCTTCTGGCCTGCAAAGTTTTTGCAAAGAAATCCATTGATAGTCTTATACAGTTTCCTTTCTAGGCGAAGAGTTGCTTTTCTCTTGCTTCTTTCAAAATTCTGTTTTTCACACTTGACAATTTGATTGTATGTCTTGATGTGATTATCTTTAAATTTATTCTAAGTAGAGTCCACTGAGGCTCTTGAATCTTGAAGTCCATTTCCTTAAACAGATTTGGGACATTTTCTGTCATTACTTCTTTAAATAAGCTTTCTGCCCCTTTCTCTTTTCTTCTGGCCTCCCACAATGGATATATTGGTCAACTTGATAGTGTCCCATAAGTCCCTTTGGCTTTCTTTACTCTTTTTCATTTCTTTTGTTCCTCTGACTAGATAATTTCAAATGACTTGTCTAAGAGTTTGCTGATTCTTTATTCTGCCTTATCAACCTGCTTTTGAACCCCTCTAGTGAATTTTTCAGTTCATTTATTTGGCCCCAAAATTTATGTTTGGTTCTTTCTTATACTTTCTGTCTCTTTGTTGATATTCTCATTTTGTTCATGCATTGTTTTGTTGAGTTCATAAGAAACCTTTATTATGGTTATTTTGAATTCTGTCACATAATTCATATAACTCCATTTCTTGAAAATTGGTTTCTAGAGATTAATTTTGTTCCTTTTTGAGGCTGTGTTTCTGTTTCTTTGGGTGTCTTGTAATTTAGTGTTGTGGGTCCTTGCATTTGAAAAGATAGCTACCTCTCCCAGTCTTTAAAGAATTAGCTTTATATAGAAGAAGACCCTCACCAATCAGCCTGGCTAGACATTCTGGGGGTTACTGAAACCTTTTTGGGGGCTGTGATTTTAAAGGGCCTGTAAGTGTAGTTTCTCAATCAGACAGGCTTGCTGGTTTCTTTTTCAGAATCTCATAATCTTGCTCCCTCTGGTGACTGTGACACTGTTAGTTCCAGTTCTATAGCAATAAATGCTGCCCCAATCTGTCTTGTTCTCAGCAGCCAACTAGCATCAAAAGTATACCAGATACAGAAGAGTCAGGGTCAGATTCAGAGAGAGAGCTGAAGATGCTGCACTTCTGGCTTTGAAGAGGAAGGGGGCCAGGAGCCAGGGAATGCAGGTGGCCTCTGGAAGCTGGAACAAGTAAAAACATGGGTTCTTCCTAGGCCCTCCAGATGGAGTGCCATCCTGCCAATACCTTGATTTCAGCCCATTTCAATAAGCTCAGTAAGACCCATTTCAGACTTCTGACCTCCAGAACTGTAAAAAAATAATAAATTTGTGTTTTTTACCCACTGAATTTGTTGTAATTTGTTACAGAAGCTACAGGGAGCTAATACATTACTATTATAAACACTATGGTAAATCTTTGGGTACAGTGCAGGTTGTTTCCTTGATAGAAATTCCTAGAAAAATTTAAGGTATATTTTGTGAGAATGGTGCCCAGAAAGTTTGTGACAAATTAAAGATACGCACTGATAACAAGTAAGAGGGCCTATTTTCTCTTTATTTTCCAATACCAGATATTATCATTTTATTTTTCTGGTAAGTTGATAGTTAAAAAACAATGGTATTATTTTAATTCATTTTCTTATTTTAGTATTGTGGATGAAGATATATTTACAAGGTAATCATTTTGTATTCTGTAATGGGATATGCTTTTATATCTTGCCAATTTTCTACTAGAGTATACATCTTTTGTTGTTGAATTAATTCTGTGTTTATTAGAATTAAGCTCTTGTCATGTAAGTGGAAAACATGTTTCTCAGTTTTTGTATACATTTTAATGTTTTTAATAATACTTTAATGAGTAAAGTTTAATTTATATTATGTCAAATCTAAAAAGCTTTTCCTTTGTGATTTCTTACAGTGCTTATATAATTCTTTCCCAATAATAAGTGAAATTTTAATCTATTTTTTCTCCTAACCTTTACAAGTTTTACAAACCTTGGTCACTATCATTATGATAACCATGACCATCAGCATGCATGAATTCTGGTTTCTCTTCTAATGAATTTATTCATTTAGCAAAAATTACTGGGCTATGCTATGTGCCACTCACTGTGCCATTCACAACAGACCAAACAGTTACAAATCAGAGAATGGTAATTAGTACATCTAGGATGCATAAGGTTAATGAAACAGGGAGAATGGAGAGGTTAAAAAAATTAATACTATATGGTGTTGGCACAGATATACATACAAGTACTTATAAGCACATATAAATTTATGTCCCTACTCACATTTTTACCACTCATGGTTATCACCATCATGATAACCAGTGTCGCCATCATTATGATAAACATGGTCACCATCATGATGATAACCTTGGTCACCATCATGATGATAACCTTGGTTACCATCATGATAACCAATGTCGCCATCATTATGATAAACATGGTCACCATCATGATGATAACCTTGGTCACCATCATTATGATAACCTTGGCCACCATCATGATGATAACCTTGGTCACCATCATTATGATAACCATGGTCATCACCATTATGATAACCTTGGTCACCATCATTATGATAACCAATGCCACCACTATTATGATAACCATGGTCCCCACCATTGTTGCCATCATGTTCATGAAGGGCTAATGCTTATAATGCGTAAACCATGTTACAATCGCTTAAAAATGCCAACTCATTTTATGTTCCTAACAACCTTAGGAAGTAGGCAGCATTAGTGAGTCCCTTTTACTGATGAGGGACTGAGGCAGATAGGTTAACTAACCTGTCCAAGGTGAGACAGGTAGAAAGGAAACAAAACCAGGGAGTTTGGCCCCAGAATCAGTGATCTGATGCACAGACTATGTGGTCTCTCTGTCTCAATTCCTCATAGATTATGTACTTGTTCAGTGGTTGTGGGGAGTTTTTTATTTAAACATGTATTTGAGAATGACTAGTCTGCCTGAAATATTGTCCAAGGAGAGGTTCACTGTTTATTTTATCAGAAGTCAGGGATTCAGTGCAGCTTTCTAACTGAAGTTCTAGCTACAAACTAAAATTATTTTTGACTCTCATATCAATACTAATTTGTCTGATCTTCAAACTTCTTATAAGTAGAAGACTTCAGCCATCTGGTTTAATTGTCAACCCCCTGGGTCAGAACAGATGGTCTGCACACTGCGGTTGACTTCCAAGAGCCTACAAAACCTGGGTTTATCTTGCCATGAATGCCTGCTTTCCTTTCATCTTCACTCCCATCCATTAAGCTACTGATAACAGTTTCCCATTTCATTAACTCCCAAGGAATAAGTATGAACTACAAGCAGATGAAGATTTATACACACATTGTGTTAGTTGAGAGCAAAATCAATATATCTGTTTTATAGAGCTTACTGCCTGCTTTTGCTTTAGGCAAACAGAAACTAATTTTAATGTGTGCATTAAATATCAAAGAATTCATTACCTAGAAACCTCAGTTTTTGATGCACTGACCTCAAGTCACAGTCATAGAATTTTGAAAATGAAATATAGTCACTCTGGAAATCAATAGTACCGGTTCCTCAACCCTCACTATAATTTGTCAAAACCCCAGTACAGTTCCTGTCTAATAAATTTAGGGGTGGTGGTGTATTTGTGAATAAGGCTGTCCCTTGCTCAGTCCTCAGGGAAGTTATTCAAGAAGCCAGGTCGCTGAGCCAAGCTAGTGGTTTGAATTGTTTAATATCTAAATTTCTAGCCAGTTTCCATATTTCATTGTCTTATATGTGAATCTGCTTTGCAGAAGTAAAATACCTACTGTTCTTGCTCACTCAGTCAAGGGACACCTAGGAAGCACAGCGATAACGCTTTGCCAAGGGGCTCGCAGATGAAAAAGTCTGAATCACAAATCAGAAAATTGGCCTCCTTATGGAGCTGAACGAGGTGCAGCTGGGAGCTGTGTCCAGTGCTAGGGGCCTAACCAGCTACACCAAATAACAGAACATGTACTTAGNATCAGAAAATTGGCCTCCTTATGGAGCTGAACGAGGTGCAGCTGGGAGCTGTGTCCAGTGCTAGGGGCCTAACCAGCTACACCAAATAACAGTAGAGTGTGGGAATATTCCCTAACGGGAACCGTGGGTGAAATTACGTACTTAGTGTCACAACCACTTGGGCCAGCCAATGACCATGGACTTGACATACTAAACTGACAGATTAAGGGAGAAAAGCCTCTGGGAAGCCAAGGAAATGAGGAGGAACAGCAGGATTCTTAAATATGTATCAATCGGTCCCAAAATCTTTGTGAAATTCGCTCTTTTCCCTCTCTCTGGAGGTCTCCACGTCTCAAGTAGAATTTGACAAAAGGATTGAAAGGGTGACATCAGCTGAAGAGTAGGAGCCACGCTTCCGATTTCAGATGGCCTTCCCTTGGCAGGCGCTGGCGGTGGTTAGAATTCTCTGTCTAAAATAGAGATTGCATGAGAATGGAGGTTATTTGCAAGCTTGCTCATGAGACGTGGGTTTTGGATGCTGGACAGATTAGTGAAGTGGGAGAGTCATGCTTCAGTGCGCCCGTCCCTCCTGTCTCCTGCGGACTTGGAGACACTGGCCCTGTTGAGATGCGTGTGTGTGTTTAAGACGAGGAGACGGAGGAGAGAGAAAGAAGCTGAGACAGAGGAGTGACTCCTCAGGCTCCAAGGACCACAGGTGGGAGGCTGGAGTCTTGGACAACTGGTTTTATCTTTTGCGCACAGGCTTCATTTCTTTCTAAGCGTGTGGCGCAGCAGCGCTCGATCTGATTGAATCGAGCACGAGACTCTGGAGAAAAGGAATCAGCTCTCTGTGGACGACTCAGGGGGGCCGACAAGTCTCTCTTCACAATCGCCCTGGTGCATATTCTTCCCGACCCTGCCTGCCCTTGTGCCTGCGATGGGCTTCCACGTGCCTCCGCCTCACATTCCCTACTTCACTGCCTCTGTCTCTTAGCTGTTCCGCTGATATCCCTGCGAGGCAGCCCCCGGGGTAATCTCTACCTTGTCTGAACCCTTATGAAACCTTTGAAGGTGTCAGTTGGCACGAACTGTGCCAGCAGCTAATGGCACGTATCTTCCCTCTGTGTTTTCGTGACCTGCTTGCTGGCAGAGAGCCTGAATTCACTTGGTAGCTTCACAGGGTCTGGTACCGGAATTTCAGGTATTTGAAATATGAAAGGAGAGACCAGTTGAATCCTTGCTTTTATTCCTGTCAAAGTGCCATTCCTTCCATTCCAAACACGCACTATTGATTTCACATTTCACTTCCAATCTAGGAGACCAACTTTTGGTAAAAGTACTAAATTAAGCATAATCTCTGATTTCTCTCCCGAACTCCCACACATACAACTCCTTCCGCTTCAGCAGAGCTCTGGATATATTCAAGTTTACTGTCTAAATGCCAAATAAATATCTTGACAATTGGTTTCTGATAGATGTATACAACCATCTCATGGCATTTATTAGGCTTGTATTTCTTTAACATGCCTACTCCAAAACTAAAGTTATCAATTTGGATGTAGCCTAAATGTAGAGAATCTGGAGATTTTAAGGACATCTGTGGTAGCTTAAAATAATGCACAGTGAAAATATATTTTGTCCAGTGTAGGCTGAAATAAAACTAAAAAGAAAATGTCAGTTTTATCACATTAAAATATATCCATGCAACCATTTCCTTAAGGTTCTCCAAAACTAACTTGCAACAATCCAAATAATTTTCAACAGTTTAATTATATTTCAAATGATGAAGATCATTTATAAACTATCAAGGATCAATTCATGCTATACGATATAATGGAAATTGATAAACTGTCTACTGTGGACTTAAATAATTCAATTTAATGGATGATGCTAATTTTTCAGAACTAATTTGTAAAAAATAGTTACATTGGTATATATAAAAACTCTCTCAACCTCTTAATAACTCTGTGTGTGTGTGTGTGTGTGTGTGTGTGTGTGTGTGTGTGTGTGGTGGTAGTTGGCGGCNGAACTAATTTGTAAAAAATAGTTACATTGGTATATATAAAAACTCTCTCATCCTCTTAATAACTCTGTGTGTGTGTGTGTGTGTGTGTGTGTGTGTGGTGGTAGTTGGCGGTGGTGGTGGTGAGGTTAGAGGGTGGTTCCCAGTTGGACACACTTACTTTGTTGTATTTCTTATTTTATGGCCAACTGGTCTAAATTTTTAAGTACCAGTATATATATATATATATATATATATATTTTTTTTAAATATATCTTTATTGATTTCAGAGAGAGGAAAGGAGAGGGAGAGAGAGAGATAGAAACATCAATGATGAGAGAGTCATTGATCGAGCCCACAACCCGGGTGTGTGCCCTGATCGGGAATCGAACCCTGATCGCCTGGATCCCAGGTCGATGCTCAACCGCTGAGCCACGCCCGGCCGAGCAGTACCAGTATATTTTAGATAAACATAAATATTTCGACTTTCCTTTCCCTAAAAAACTTGTCTATCACTCTGTCCAAGGGCACATGCCCTCCACACTCAAGTGGGGAATTCCTGCTCTGTGACTTGATAGAGTTGCGCATCTCCTTTTCTCTTTTCATTTTCATGGAAATTAGCAACTTTAATGAATAAAATCACACATACAACTTATAAGCAATACTTTATTCAAGACAATCTATGTGCCTGTAGCTAATGGATTATTTTTAAAATTAGCAATATGTTATATTTTCTGCAATTGGGGTTGGAGAAAAGTTGTCTTCTACGTAGAAGGTTGTCTCGGTTGCCCAAGTGCTTTCTTAGATTAGGGCCTGAGGTTATAATTACACCAGGCCAGTAGGAACTGCCCTGGTAAATAAGAAATGTGGTTAATTCCTCTTTGATGGAGCTATGAGCCAAAAGCAAAGTTGCCCTACCAGTCATAAAACCACTAAGACTTGTAACTCTACAAGCATCTTATTACAGAAAAAGTATACAAATTAAGAAGGTTTTCATTCATTTAGAATGACAAAATAAAGCAGCATGAAAAACATTATAATCACACAGTCTCAAGAATGAAACAAAAGCAAGAAACTGTGGGAGCAAGAAATCGTGAGTAAATGATCTGAATTGGGAATTTATTGGAGATTAATTCTTCTGTAATTCAATCCTAAACTTTTGCTACTTATAATGTCAGGCAATAAGGGACTGAAGCTTGAACAGCAAACTCTTTTCTACTTCCAGACTATGTTTACATTATTTTTTCAGAATACACTAAATCACCATAATTTAGTGATCCCAGGAGTTTACATGTTATGAATGAAATGTACATTTTAAGCATGACTGTTGCTTGTAGAAAGGAGCTCACTATTTCTTACAACTTATCCTTTTGCAGAAGACAGTCAGTAAGAACCTTTCACCATGTTTACTTACGTAGTCGCATCATTGCTGCGAGACAGGGAAAGAAAGATGATGGAGCATACATGGTTGAGGGCCCAGAGGGTTTGGGTGATTTTCCTAGAATCAGCAGTGGAGTCTACATTTGTACCAGGCTCTGTCCCCTGTCTTCTCTTCTATTCTATTAGAAAAGCCTCTGCTCAAATGACAAGAGCAACAGAAATGCGAGCATTCTGCTTAATGGTGATTGAACTTTGGACAAAATACTATAGTCAAAGGAATACACACATTAAGTCCAGATTAAGTTGGCCTCTGATCTTCCTCGATGTGTCCTGTGCTCATGGTCAAAGTCAATGTCCTTCTCACTCATGTTCATAACCGAAGAGAATTTTGTTCTCCTATAAAACATTGCCTCACTTAACTCTAGGCCCCTGTTCACTCGACACACAGCAAGGTGCACACAGACCCTGGAAACAAGAAGCCACACAGAATGACTCACATGGTAAAGACGTCCAGTGTATCCCCGGCAGTCCTCGCCATCTCGAAGTAGGTCTGCAAAATGTTGACAGTCCCAGAGAGCGCCTCATGACCGCAGCCACAGAACAGGGCTACGCCTGCGTACAGCAGGATGGTGGCAATCAGAGAGGCGTAGGGGATGCCTCCCAGGCATTTAATACAGCACTCAAAACACCCTGCACAGGGAAACAGGAAAAAGGTAGAAATTAGTATTTTTTTGTTTATCTAATTCATTTTCCTCCCAAAGTTCAGCATTATGGGAAAGTATACTTGCATTTGTAGATGACATCTGGTCAACCTTGTCAATCAAGCCTAGGCTGTCCTGAAGGGTATAAATGTCAAGTTCCTTAATTATAGACCCTTTCTCCAGACAAGAGAATGCTGGCTTCTGCTGATGGTTTCATTGTCTACCCCAAACCAACAGAAGCCCTTCCTGTCCACCCAGACTTCCTCTAACAATTAATCTTCGCAGGCATGCACGCATATCATTCCATCATGACTTCACTGCTCTCAAGTCTCACATGCTGAAGTTTTTATTTCAGTGAAATTTATTATTTTGAACTCCCTGTAGCTGTATCTTTTAAACAGTGAGTCAAAATCTGTTAGTTGGGAACCCAATCGAGTGAAATTCAACCATCAGTTTTTAAAAGCGAAAGAGAACAGACTAGACAATGTCTGAGTGCATTGTATGTGGTAAGGCAAATTATTTCGGAATCTTTTCAGTTCAGATATTTATGGATGCTATTTTTCTAGTGACTCATAATGCAAAATCTGTTTCTTGCTGCGCTGCATGATAAACAAAATGAGAAAGCCACTGGCACAGTGGGAAAGAGAGAGCACGGCAGGTTAGAGTCCTAATGCGCCACCGCGTGTGTTTTGGCAAGTTTATTCTTTTGATTTCATTATTTACAAAAAGGTGACAGTAAGATGTTCCCTCAAATGATTCTTGTGAGCATTAAATGAGTTAATACATAAAACAATGCACAACAGAGGAACTACTCAGCAAATGCCTACCATTCTAAGATGTAACTTTAACATTATTAACTATTATTGCATTGTCATATGGCTTTCAAAATTTCTTTGACCAGAGTAATCACTTTTGAAGTTTTTTCACTTTAGCTTCAATTTAAAAAAATATATATATATCCCTATTGATTTCAGAGAGGAAAAGAGAGGGAGAGAGAGAGAGAGAGAAACATCAATGATGAGAGAGTCATTGATCGGCTGCAGCCCACAACCCAGGCATGTGCCCTGACTGGGAATCGAACCCCGATCGCCTGGATCCTAGGTTGACGCTCAACCACTGAGCTATGCCTGGCCGGGCTAGCTTCAATTTTCAAAAGATAGCTTTAAACATGTAGTCTGAGAAATCAGAAAACCATTGTTGTTAATATTCAAATTAAGCATCAGAATTTTCTAGGTGACTGCTAGACATCTTCTTCTAAAAGAGTGACTAGAAATGCCTAAGTCTCTGCGTTTTGTGATAAGAAATACTGATGAGCTACTTTGTGCCAGCCACTGGTGAGAAAGGACATTAAGGTAAAAGGGGGACAGGCTAACAGGAGGATGATGTCTCTCACTCCTTCCCCAGAAACAACATCGGATTCCAAAGATTCCTTCCTACTTCTCTCCTTTCGGGACTTGTCAATCAAGTCTCTTTCTGTAATGCTGAAGCCCCTCAAAAACTCTCCACATAACTGACTTTTCCTTTCTTCAGAAACAGATAAAGGGGATTGGAAAATGCACTGTTATTTATTGTACGTAAGTCATAGGGAGATCTGTGTGCAGTTTATCTGGATGCATCTATGTTTGTAGCAACATATGACACCTGCAATGATTGCAAAGCTCCCATGAGGGGTAACTTCCTACTCAGAGGGTGGGCTAGTCTGCTACTTCAATACTGGTCATTAAGAGAATTACAGCTCAGCGCATCTACCCCAGAGGAGGTAAAACAAGGAAGGGGGAGCACCTCCCTGCCTCCATAGCTCTTGCTTGTACAGGCAAAATCGTTTCCTGAACACTCCTCCCCCCACACACACACACACACACACACACACACACACACCATGTGAGGGACTAGGAAAAGTTAGAACAGCTTGATACTTCGTATGATGGGAGGAAATATCTCCGGCAGATGGACGAGACCAGTGTGTGTAGTATCTGAATGCCATTGAACACAGTTGTGGGTGGAGATGAACAGGGGAGCAGAAAAATCTTTGGACTATTCTCAGTCTCTCCATGTTGTAAAACTGACATCTTACTGATCATGGAAAAATTAAAAGAAAAGAAATAAAATTAGTACAGACTCAAGGAAGAGTTATTCCTAATTTTGGCAAGGGCCCCAAACAGCCCCGTGGTCTCGAACCCCACTCCTTTGTGATTCTTCTCCCCTGTTATTCTTGAGCATCTGCTGTCGGTTTATGAGCTGCCTGCTGCAGGCACCGAGATTCCTACTGCAGGACCAGAACGGCATGTCCAGCAAAACCCTTCAGAATGAAGAAAAGAGTCCAAACTGCAAATTCACAGATAGGAATTACCTTCGCTGGGTCCTAGACCTAAAGCACATAACAGAGTGAAGATAAAGCCAGAAGGAGTTGGGCTCAGGAGCAAATGAAGTGGTAACTCTCAGGTGAACACCAAAACGGCACTGAGGACGTCCGATTCATTCCATTTCTAATTCAGTCAGTTTCTACTCATTTCTCATTTCCTTGATTATGGTTTAGATGGACCCATACCTGCCTCCATGCAAGTTAAGCCTAGTTACCTAGACTATATATTCCCTGGGTATTGGGTGCTATTAGCATCATAGCCACTAATTATAGCCTTAATTGAGTGGTGACTTCTAAATTTAGAAAAACATGAGATAAGTTGCAATACGGAGTAAACCCAAATTGGCAACCCTGAGTTAATAGGCATTTCTGAATGAGTTTAAGATCTCCAAATTAAATGGACATACTTCTTTTACTCTCTATTTAAATACTGCCGTTTAAATTGCTCAGAATTATATTACCCCTATTGACTAATGCACATGCCTCTAGACAGCCATTCCTTCCAGGCCAGGCTAGAATCTTTCCATTCAAGTCCTGATCCTCTGCAAAACTTTGAAAGTAAGGAGCTTTGAGCATCTCATCTTGCACGTTTCGCCCTTGTGCTGGGCTGCATCCTAACTACCCTGCTCTTCTGCAGGGCTGAGTCGCCTGTTGGGTTGAAACAGCCTCTCAGAGCTCCATCTGGGAGCAGCGCCTCCCTTCAGCACTCTCCCCAGCGCCAGGATCCCACGTGGCTGCTGGCGGGGAGGCAGCTCCTTCCCACCCACAGCGGGAAATAGCCTGGGCCAGCGCGTCGCCACGGCAACCATGCTCCTGGCCCAGGACGTGCTTCAAGGCTGCGGATTCTGCTGCCACCCATCCCCACATTTTTACTTGCACCTCGGATGGGAAACAAATCTATTAAATTGACACTACTGCAAGCATAGCAAGTGGAGTGTGGGCACTGGAGAAAACATCTTTTTTCAGGAATTATAAAGACAAGAAAGAGTACTTTGCACCAGAATCATTTTGAGGACCAGATATAATGAGAATCTGGCCCACTCATTCTCAAATAGATGGTTCAAATATCGAACACAGAATTCAGATGGGAGGAGATGCTACCTGTAATACACCAGGAAGCATATCTCAGCTCCAGCTCCCGGCTGCATTTTCTCAAATGAATTAACACTGAATTAAAGGGATTAGGAGACTTGCAACACAGTCTGAAACATCAGCATTGGCCCAATGTTTTGTAGGTTATAGGTTGACTTATCCTAACAGAAAAACGTCAAAGGAAATAAAAACTCTTGAGATAGTTGATTTTTAAAAAAGATGAGCTATATGGTTAATTTACTTCCATTTAAACATTGTGAAGTAAACACAAGCCTTTGCCTTGGTTCACTCCACAGAGGGCTCCAAAATAAATAACAGGAAAGGAATCTAAACCAACAATACGGCACGGGAAACCGACAGCTGAGAAGATGGACCATGGAAAGGAGGCTGACAAAGGAGCTTGACAAGAGGCCGACCGTTTACTCATTGACAGACTTTCCAAGCGCGTTTCGCCAATGAGCTGATTCTTCTCTACCGACCAACAACAGCGCCCTGTCATTGCCAAGCATCGGAGAGGTTGGGTCTGCATTTCTGCTCCACCGGCCTGCGGGCCTCCCCCTGGGCCACACCGCACTGCCTTACAGTGGCTCTTGGTTTGTCGTGGAGGACACTCCCCAGCGTGTTCATCTTCCATGTGTGTGTCACGCTATCCGTGGCCCCTTTACATCACCATATACATTTTAGAAACAGTTTGTCAGGTTCCACCATTTCACTCATTGGGATTCTGACTGGTATTTTTATAGTGCTTTTGCATCTAGAAGTTTTGAAAAATTCTCTTTGGGATCCTCTGAAATATCTTCATTTTGCAAATTATTTTGAGAGTGTTATGTTGATAATCATACCATCTGTGAACATTTTGAGCTTTATCTATTTTCACTGTTTGTACCTTCTTATTTACCTTTCTTTTGACTTCGTTGGGTAAAATGCAGTGAGGAGAGTAGTAGTAATGATAAAAGGCACCTTTTCCTGTTCCTGATATTAAACACACACACAAAAGACCACTTTCCATGTTTTACCATTAAGTGTAATGTCTGCTCTTGGTATATTGGTTAAAGAAGGTAAGGTCTCTTTAACTTTGAATTCCCATAAAATGCTTTCCCCCTCCCAACTGCTGAAATAATTTTATGTTTTTCATTTTTCTCTGCCATGTTAATGATGTTTTCCTAAATTAAACTAATCTTGAATTCTTGAGAAAAATCCAACTGAGTCATACTGTATTTTTTAGTGCACCCTATAGGCTGAATTTGTCATGCTAAAATTCTGTTCAATACTTTTGCATTTATCAATTCATCCCACAAATAGTTACTGAGCCCTCACCGCGTGCCAGGAACTAAAATAAACCCCTCTACTTTCATCCTAGTGGTGGGAGACAGATAGTAAACAAGATGCAGAAGCAATATATGTGAGATACGAGAAGTGCAGAGAAGAAAACCAGAACAGGGGAGAGGGGGAGGGAGTATTGGACTAATGGCTTCAGTGTCCTTGTTTTTCAGGGAAGGAATAACTAAGATGATATTTTCAAAAAGGCATGAAGG